CATGTTACTTTAGGCTACTTTTAGTGATTTTCATGTTTTTTATATTATTTTGGGCTGAACATTCATTTATTTAAGGCCCAATTCGTGGTTATTATGATTAGGGCTTAGGGTGTTAGTTTCCTATTCTGATTAGAATTACTTTTCCCTATTTAAAAAGGGCTTGTAACCCTAATTGAGGGAGGCGATTAAATCTGAGATTTTGAGAGACTTTTCTCTTTGGTTCGTTTTAGAACTTTACAGAACTTATCAAGATTATTCTTGTGGCATTCTAACTTGACTTATCATCCTCGTTCTTAATCGTTTGAGGGTGTGGCATCAACCAAATTTATACCTCTGGTTTTTGTTGCGTCATAGACAATGGGTCAAGGTTTTTACCTTTGGTTCTTGTTGCGACATAAACAACAGGTCAAGGTCCTATTATAAACCTGATTTAGCTTTCCTGGAGTTTAGAAATCGTGCTGTGGGTTTCATTGTTCTCTTTGGGGTTCTCATCAGGTAGCCTCATCAATGTAGGGTTGCATGGCCTTATTCCAATTTGTCCTATTTGAAGAAGGAGCAGAAGGTATATCTTGGTCATAGCCAAACTGCCTCGCGACTCTTTCTAGATAGTAGCACTCTAGACTCCTTGTCCTCCACCATGTAATGCACGGCAGCATGGATGGTTTGATCATTGCCAACGTCTCTAAATGGCTCGAATCTGCCATAGTAAAATCTATAACTTAGTTTCCAGCCACTGTTGGGAGTGCCATGTCAAAAAGCTAACTTCGGGTGGAGCAAATGTCCCTGGCATCGTCTTGTACACTTGGAAATTAAAGTTGCCATAGTCATCCAAAAGGCCATCAGCTTCAGGAATTACCTGGCCCTTTACCTTCCTTTTCCTTGTCCAGGAACGGAGGTATCCCACCAATGTAACCGCACTTTGCCATGGGATATTCCTTCAAAGCCTTCCCACTGGTGACACGGCTGAGGTGATATAGGCGAAATCTCTCCCATGCAAATATTTGCAGTAAAGACAAACACACATGTGATTCAATGATATAATAGCTAGCATCGAAAATCTCATCAAAGTGGAGCAAGTCAAGCATGTGATAAATCATACCTAGCATCAGTAGAGCTAAAGGAAGCTTCACACCTTCGGCCAATTGAATTGCCAAAGGAATACACTCAGCCATAATTTCATGGTTTGGGAAACCCTCGTAGACAAATTTACTCAACCAAGCCATAACAAAAGCTACCCGAACATATAGAGTATCCTTACCTTTACCAGTTTGAAAGTACTACATCCAAGTAGAAAAATTAATGTTGTACTCTCCCCTCCAAGAACGAGAAGAGGCACTAGCGTTCTTCTTCATCACCTTTTTCAAAGCCACCTATGTGGCACACTCTTCCAGGGTCAACGCTATGTGCCATGGATCCTCCTCCCTAACAATAGGCAACAAATCAGGTTTGCCATGTCTTCTAAAGCCATGGTGACTTCCCTGTAAGCGAGGATGAAACTACGAGTGCTCGTACACCATTTCTACACCAAATGATGGAGGCATTCCACATTGCCACTAATTTGCAAAGTCTGACTTAAAGCTAAAGACTTAAGAATCCCAGTGGCACGTAATATCTCCACAAAGCCATTCTCGGCAACATCTCTTTAGCCTAACTTGACCAATCTTCCATCTTACCAGACGGGAAGGCAAAGTGAATCGATATTAGCAGCAAGTCTAGTCTTTCAAGCCTTGCTCGCATTATGTCACGTGGTGAGGGAAACCATGCTGCACCATTGTCACCCCTTTCGAAAGCCTCAAGTGAAACTAGATCTTTCTGCTTCTCATGCGCTCTTTTTGCTGACCAAGCATTGAATTCTAGGAAGCCGTCTTTGAAAGTGTACTACAGTTCGTGGTATGATTACACTCCGTCAGTCAGATAAGGATTAGCCATCCCACAAGGCTTTCTTCAAGAGGAAAAGAGGAAGTGAAACAGAGATTTAGATTAATGAAGGCACAAGAAATCTGTGACATGAAATCAAAAAAAAAAAAAAAACGTAGTAGAAAGACAGAGATTCATGTTACCTTAATTCGAAGAAGGACTCTGTCAAATTTGCACACTCAATTAGGCTCCTCAAAAAAAGATCCGGTTGCTTTGTTGGGAAACCCAAGAGTTTTGTGAAGAAGATGATGAAAATCAAAGACGTCGCAAAAAGAAAGGAGGGTTCAACAGTTTTGTGAAAAAGAAGAAAGGGGAAAACTGAAAGGCTTACTAAGGAATAAGGAGAATGGTAGAAAGGGAAATTAAGGGCAACATTAAGTGCACTAGCCAACCACTTCGCCACCTATTGCGCATCAGCATAACCAAAAATTATTAGAAGGGTAGCAAATAAGGTGCACATTGTCTTAATGAATATGCATGTATACGATCTCCTTTAGAATCTCTCCTTTTTATGCGCCATCATAACAAGATTTTTAGGAAGATTCAATTTATTTTTCAGGAGGAGTTACTTTCTCTCTTTTACTGCTAAAAACTTCCTTGGGCAACAATTTTGAATTTTTCTTCAAATTTGAACTGCACATAAACAATATGAAAAAAAAAAAAAAAAGGGAGGGGGAAATTTTTCTATAGTAACTACTTAGAATGTATTATTTTTGGAAGAAGAAAAGTAGTGCAGCTCGTGCAGGAATCCTAATGAAGATGCGACTGAGAGCTTGTTCACTAGACTCATATCTACACCGGTTGGAATCACTGCCGGGTACTCTCTAAATCACACTCAAGCTTTCTTAGAAGATTATTTTGGTGAAATTTGCAAAGAAAGGTGCGGCTAAGCACAAGAGTAATTTTGCCTGTTTAGAGTAATTTTATGAATATTTCATGGGTGTTATTTATGCTACCCGTTGTCTTGGTTGATCTTGGCTCTATTCCACACATATCAAGATTTGTCACTCTCAACAACCCTGGAATTTTTAGCCAAAGTTTTACTTCGACCTTACTTGGTTCGTATCCATGTTGAGACTTCGCCAGCAACATCAAAGCCCACAATTGGAATTCTCAGTCTGGGTGTGGGTTTGATTAAATCTATGTCAAAACCTTTCCAGTAGCGCCAAATTTCCCCAGTTGGTATCTTGGTCTTATTCATCAATGACAGCCAAGTCATATTGGATTCACCTATGCTTACAACTATTTTTCACGGCTGAGTTTAGTACAATCTTGCCTCTGTCAAAGTCAATTCATCATCAGCAGCTTATTTGGCTGGAACCAAGTTCTGACAATCTGAAGTCTATCAAATCACATCTGTTTTGACAAAGGGGTCCATATTGATTATCTGATTTCTATATTATCCCGGCATGCTCATGATCATATGGAGAACGTCTTAGTAATTTGCCTCCCCTAACACCAAACGGCCAAACTTGTTGTCACAACTTCACCCACTTGGGAGGCTAATGTTGAAGGATGAATTTGTATGGCTATGGAACTAATGACATATGCGGGTCAACATTAGAAAAGGCCCATAGCACTTATTTTCCACATCAAACATGCAATTTCTATTTTTTATTGATTATTGCAATGGAATCAACATCACTAGAAATGGCACTAACTCGCTTTGTTGGAAACATTGTAAGATGCAGCCCACTCTAGCATCTACTTCTACAAACATGGTCAAATATGGCTAGATCTATTTCAGCAACATGGTTGGATGTTTTTGATGGTCATGTCCTCTGCAACAATACTCACTACTATATCTTGCAGCTCCCAATAATGGATAAAGAGTCGGCTTCGCTATACGTACATGGCTCCCATCAACGGACAACGAGCCACATCTCCATAGCTCTCGATGATGGACAAAGGGCTAGATTTGATATCTCATCTAGCCTCCAACAATGGACAAAAGGGCTACACATTTCTACATATTCTCATTGCACAGATTCCCAATAATGGACAACTCATTGGATCTCTATATATTCTATCTCACTGGCTCCCAAAAATGGACCAAGAGTCAATGTAACTCGGTACAATTAGCGTGAAGTCGGTAACAATTGCAACTTTACAATCGGATGGGATGGCTACCCTCCAACAATAAAAATCCATCAAGTAGCGGCCAATAGTCTCTTAGTGGTTGCCCGTGCATGGTGGTGCGATGCCTGGCAGCCAACAACAACCAAAACCACCTCTAATGGTGCGGGTACGGCAAGAAGGGCTAGCGTTTGTCAGTGCTATCACATCTTATCGTATCGGAGGCCATGGATGCGATAGGCATCCCCCTTCCATGGAGACAAATCCACCTCTCTCCATCTCGTAATCATCACTATGGCGGAGTCTGGTTTAGTTAGATTTACCCCTTCTTGACTTGGTAGATTAATGGGAATGCTTTTCCGATTCCACATACTTCACGCTCCAGCCATTAGCAAAGTTAGCCACTGTTGTCTCTCTAGCTATAGGGAAGTTATTAATGGTTGACCCTACAATACTTATACAACATGGCCAGCGGTCATGCACATTATCATTCTTCTACACAAAGGGACAAAATTACTGGTTGTTGGTAATCACAACTCATAACACATATTTTCTATATTTTGCGTGCTAGTAGGTATCGTTGACCAACAATGCTTGGCTCGAGATAACGATATTGTAGCACACACCTATATCACTTGTTCTTTATCCTGGCGCAATGCCAGCCATGTACAGCAACGATATACTAGCACTCGTCACGGCCAGCAAATAAAAGGGCACAACAAATACCCATACACATCCCCTTCAATACACAAGGGAGTTCCCTTCTTTGCTACATGTATTTATATATTTCTTACACTTAAATACTTGAACATATATTCACATGTGCCTTGTTGTCATTGCAGAAAAACACAAGCCCTTGAATCCAAGCTCATGGAATTACTTAGGATAAGCTATGGAAGTAATGGCTTGGCAAGCATGGATGGGTGAACGTTGCCCATTTGGCGAAGCAAGGCATTTGCATTGGCAAAGCTTGGCGCTAGCGATGTTGCCCGACTTCACCAAAAAGGGCTAAGTGGCGAAGACACAAAAGTAAACTTGACTCTCGAAACAGTACCTTTTGATGTTAACCAAAGGCTTGAAATCCCGTTAAAAACCAATCAGAGATGTTGTTTTGGTCACCATCAACAACTTGCAACCACATTCAATGCAAAGATGGCTGCACAAGTTCCATGGCCTTGAAATTTGTTGAAAAAGATTGTCTTTTGCTTGGAAAATCTTCCAAAATCCCATGTATAGCTTGGGGAACCCATGAAATCCCGTACAAGTGTTGTTTTTGCCGACTGCACTCAATCACCTCCCCAAAAATGGAATTTTGTATGGTTAGAGGAATTCCCAAAAATAGGCAATTTCTAGTTCATCGTTGAAACCAATGAAGCTTTTCCAGAACCACTGGGTAATTCATAAAATCATTGCCAAAAGGCTGTCAACAGCATCCAAAGCCATTCAAAGCTTGACAGCTCACCTAAACCCACCTGTAGCACGTAGCCTTTTGCACGTGAGACGGGTGCTGCCAAAAAAACCCTCCACATCATCTTCGCTGTTGACTCATCATCCTACATCACCAGCACACCCCAACTATCTCTTGGAAGGCATTTTCAGTTCCAGCCTTACATCTTTGGTTCAAGTTGTTTGGGTCATGCATGAAGATCATCAAAGGACTACTCAATTGCTCACTAGTTTGCAAACTCAGCATGCTTTGTATGATCTAGCACTACCAACCAACATGGTTGGGACATCCCAATTGCAAAGGGTGTATACTGGGGTTACCAACGATAATGGGGGCTATACTGTGTAGCCAAGAAACTTTATGCCGTTAGTATTTGTAGCCACCAGCATCGATGGGGCACTCGTAAACGCAACTAAATCTACTTAAAGCTTTGTCACTATGGTGGACCTTATTATTCTCTTGGATAAGAAGCATTCCAAACAAAGCTCAACTACTTTTCAGTTTATGTGTTATCCACCATGCTTCACGGTGATCCTAGCAAACCTATATCCAAAAAAAGTATGAAAGTCCATCATGTTAACAAGTTCCTTAATGTCTTGGGGGCTCATGCCTACAATGAAGACTTGTGCTTACATTCAAAGACTTAGCATTTGATTGTTATGGCAACCATGCTAAATCATTATTGGTGGAAATATGCATCAGCAATATGCTTCTAGAACACCATGCTATTCTTAAAAATATTGGGATAAGCCAATTTACAAGACTGCTCGACACCGTCAGAAGGACAACCATCCCTATTAAAGTTACCACCATTGGTAGATCCATGGTGAAGTTAGTAAAAGAGAAAGCAATTGAAGTCAAGAATGAAATATCTTATAAGCACTTTATGTCTTTTGGCGAAGCTAATTATCTTACATTGCTGAACAAGCTTACTCATCATTTTGCTTCTTCATCATTATAGTCTCATGGCTTCAAACCAACTTGCAGTATTATCCATTTTCACAAGTAGCATTTGAATCTTTTAAATCTGCTTATACATCAAATGCATTGGTAGCACTTGAGTCACATCATCGCCAACTTGTTGGAGATGTTGCTTCGTTTACATTGCCAATATTAGTGCCTTTTTAAAGACCTACTAGTGATATTATCTTTCTTGACTAATATTGTTACATTTTCAAGGCCTACTAGTGATCTTATCTTTCATAGCCAGTGTTGGTGCCTCTTTGAAGCTTGCTAGCAATATTATCTTTCATGACCAGTATTAGTGCCTCTTTAAGGCCTGTTAGCGATATTATCTTTCATGGCCAATATTCGTGCTTTTACAAGGCTTGCTAGTGATATTATCTTTTATGGCCAGTATTGGTGCCTCTTCAAGGGTTGTTGGTGATATTATCTTTCATGGCCAATATTGGTGCCTCTGCAAGATTTGCTGGCGATATTATCTTTCGTGGCCAATATTAATGCCTCTTCAAGGCCTATTGACGATATTATCTTTCATGGCCAGTACTCATGCCTTTACAAGGCCTGCTGGCAATATTATCTTTCATGACAAGTATTCATGCCTCTACAAGGCCTACTAGTGATATTATCTTTCTTGGCCAATATTGTTGTATCTTCAAGGCTTGTTAGTGATATTATCTTTCATGGTTAATGTTGGTGCCTCTTTGAGGCTTGTTAGTGATATTATGTTTCTTGGCCAATATTGGTGCCTTTATAAGGCTTGCTAGCAATATTATCTTTCATGACTAGTATTGGTGCTTTTTCAAGTATTTCAGCCATCCTTGGTTTACTAATAGCATTTTTATCTCTCATGGCTAGTATTCATGTCACATTAAGACTTGCCAATGATGCCATTTGATCATCTCTTGGGAAGCATTTATGTCATGATAAACTCGTTATGTGATGGTGTTTCCTCTCCCATGGTAGTATTTATGTCATCTTTGATTTACTAATGGAGTGTTCTTCTATGGCTAGTATGTCTTGCTAGCGATATTCTTACACTTGATGAGTACTTGTGCTACTTTGACAAAGTGCATCAACACTTAGAGGCTTGGTAGATTTGGCAGCCTTTTTATCTATTATCAAAGTATCAATGTGCTTCCTTAAGTCTGCTAGATCTTGTTGGCCCTATCCATCCTACATCGAAAGATTGTACATGGATATGGGTGGCCATTGTGTATTTCACAAAATGGGCCGAAGCTATACTCCTTTTACAAGGCTATAAGCCTAGCAATGTCTCATTTCATCAATCAACACATTACTTGCTAGTTTTGCTTTTGTGCAATCACACATCTCTTGCTATACAACTTTACCTCCAATGTTGTAGTCCATCACAGCTATGAGAATAAGCTCCAACAATCTTCTATCAACTTATCTTTACTTGTTCAAGCACTACACTAAGCATTTGGATGTCACAAATCATAAAAGGCAGATGTCTAAACATGGAAGGCCAAACTTTGCTAGACATGAAGAAATTTAACCCAAACACAAGTAGAGATGTAATGGGGGCTGAAGAACATGGCTGCTAATAGAACAAATGAACCAGCTTCATCATCATCATTATTAGCTATTTCAACATAATTCTGACTAAGTGGGTGACTTCTCTAGGTAACTTCACTGGACCACTTCGTTAGAACCCAGGCGCTCATTCTCTTGGCATGGTAAGTTCATATGTGCCTCAACTGATTTCAATGTCACCTCTAACTTAAGCATCAGCTCTTTTATATCAGCCAAGAATTTTGGCACATTTTCAACATGCTTTGCCTGCTTATCAATCTACTCATCCTAGTTGCCAGCCTTGCCACTCCAAGCCATGTCGAACTTGCCTTTGCCAAGGTTCACCTTCCCCAGCCCGAGTAGCTCTAACTTCAAAGTTTATGCTCTTATCATCATCTATGGCATCTTTGCACAAATGAAAGGATTTCTTGTCCATCTCAACAAAGGGAGTTACTTCCATATGCCTCATAGTCGCACAATGATTTATGAAGGCATTCTTAATCATTACTTTCGTAGCCTTGCTATGTGTCATTTATTTCACTCAACTTGGCTGAAACCGAGAAAGATGTGTCCAAAGACATGATTTTTCCAGAGTTAACGGCCTTCATCGATATGCTTATGGTTGGTTCATCAACATCCATCTTGTCTTTGTTGGGAATAGATTCTTTTAAAGCAGCAACTAGGTATGGCATGCCTTTCTCTAGTGTAACATTTTATGCCAACTTCGACATCGGACATGCCGTCATCTTCATTGCCACTCTCCTAGTTGGACTTATGGTTACCTTTCGATGCTTCATCACTCTTGGTAGATTTCACATCACTGTTTTTGCTAGACTTGGGGCTAGCCTCTTTAATAGCCTTCTTGCCTTTATCTTTGTTGGTAGTTACTTGAATCCCAACCTTATCATCCTCAACATTTCGCAAAGCAAGCAAAAGCCAATTGTTTAGTAAAGATTTTATATTTCAAGAAGAAAAGGTACCAAATCATATATCATATTTCTCGTTGTCTATGGTACTTTCTTCCTTAACAATGGCAATCTTAACATTCTCTTTAGTCGAAGACTTCTTTGGCACCTAGACAACATCATCAGCTCTAAAAGGTGATTCCTCGGGTTTGCTTTATTATCATAAAAGATGGCCAAGCAAAAAATGTGATAGCTCTAGCAATGACAAGAATTCTTCATGGCTGTTAGAGAACAAAGGTATACATAACTTTGTTCCTATCTTGGCTAGCTAATCTTTTATCAATTTGGGCTTTTTCATTGCTTTGGGAGTGGCATATGAAAATTTTCACACCTCCTCTTATTTATATCCATACGAAAGGCAAAAGTCTTAAGGTTAATAAAAGTGCATGAATTAATATCTCCTAGCCATGATCTTTGTATCATGAAAGTTGCTTGCAAAGTGTATTTGACTTATCATGATGGATTTCCGTGGAAAAGTTGCACTTGCCCTTGTTCTTTTTTGTTGCACTTTAGCTACAAAGGATGCAAAATGATTCCAATCAATGATATCATCAATTAAGCTAATTATGCTACCAAGAGCTTATCTACTTCACCAACAATGATCTTATAGCAGACTCTAAGCTTTGCAAGAGCTTCATCCATATTCTTTGTTAGAGCTTTGTCCATTTTCATCACTAGAGCCTCACCCATGTTCTTCATCAGAGCCTCCACATTCTTGGCCACCTTTGCCTTGGATGAAACTTCATCATCGTCAAGAATAAGAATGAGGCCTAGTCCTTCGTTGGAAGCTCGGGGCTACACATACAAACAATGACTCACATATGATGATTTCTTAGTGAGGTCAACAATGATGGAAAGGTTGTTTTGGCTATGTAAGGAAAGCTCATCAATGCACATGCTTGTCTTCTCTTCATTTTCCTTAGACATTTTAGCTTCATGAGGCATGGATGCCTTAACTTTGATTTATTTGCTAGCTGGCAAAGCACCAGACTAGTGAGCTTCACTCTTGGATGGCTTGGCCATACTCTTCCTTTTGCCTGATGCTGGTTTCTTGGAAGAAATTATTTGGTTGGTTTCACCTACAAAATTGTACGAAAAACATAAGTGCAAAAATCTCTTTATATACATCTAGCCATGCTAAGATCTCAAATGAAACAAGATCCGAGGCTTAAAGCAAAAATCGAGAAGTCTATTTACCTCAAACCTTAACATCGCCAAGCCTCTTATTCTTACTCTTCATCAATGCCTTTGCTCTAACTATGCTCACTTTTTGAAAGTTTAAGCACGAGTAAGTATATAGTGTTTTCACTCTATATGGCTGCAGTGACATCAGCAATGTAAGGCCTTGCTCCTTATGGCTGCAATAACATCAGTGATGTAAGGCTTCATGGCCACGTCCCAATTAGAGCTATCCAAGAAAGAAGGGTGGCAAAACATTTAAGTCATAGCTAAATTGTCATGCAACTCCTTCCATGTAGTAACTCATAAGGCCCCATGATCCATTCTACATGATACATGATAGCATTGATGGTGTAATCACAGCCAATTTCTCGAAGTGGCTTACTCACCTGTAGCAAAGTCTATCATTTGGTTTCCTAGCATTGCTACAACTATCTTATTGAAAAAGCTTACTTTTAGTGGTGCAAACATCCTTAGCATTGTCTTGTATGCATGAAAGCTAAAGCTGATGTGATTTGCCCCTTTATCTTCCTTTTCCCTATCTATGAGCAAGCCAGCAGAAGCTTCACACGTTTAGCAAAGCATATAGCTAAGGAAATTTCAACTTAATTTCTTCAAGAGAGGAAGTTAATTTCTCAATTGCTAATAACTATATCTTGAAATAGCTTCAACTTCTCTTTAACTTTAGATTGCATGCACAATGCAACAAAAATCTCTACTTGTTGTACTCCACTTCGGATCTATCATTTTTCAAAGGGGAAATTATATCATCAATAATAAAACTCCAGTGATGACGTGATTGAGGCCAACATTCTAACCATATATCTACATTGTTTAAAGTCATCACCCAAGTACTTCTAAATTGCATCTATCATTTTGAATTATGCAAGTGAATCTACGTAAAGAAGCTCAACAAGCATACAAATACTTTATTATATACAAAAAGCCTCTGACTTCATGAACATTTTTTGAGCTTCATCATTGCTATTTATCGTCATGGTTGAGTTTGGCCTTGTTTTATCCATGTCAGAGCATCATCATCAACAATATCAGATTTCTTGGCTAGACTCTTGCTCTAGCAATCTATCCACATTAAAGCATCATCATCAGCAATATTAGATTCCTTAACTGGGCTCTTACTCTAGCCGTGCTTGATTCTACCTATGTTAGAGCATCATAATCAGCAATGTTAGACTTCTTAGCTGGACTCTCACTCTAGCTATGCGTAATTCTATCTATGTCAGAGCGTCATAATCAACAATGTTAGACTTCTTAGTTGGACTCCTACTCTAGCCATGCTAGATTATATCCATGTTAAAGCATCCTCATTAGTGACATTAGATTTCTTAGCTAAAGTTTTGCTTTGGGCACTCTCACTATAGTCGTGCTTGATTCTATCTATGTTAGAGCATCATAATCAGCAGTGTTAGACTTCTTAATTGGACTCTTACTTTAGCCATGCTCGATTCTATCCATGTTGAAGCATCCTCATTGATGAGATGAGATTTCTTGGTTGAAGTTTTGCTCTGGCTATACTCAATTTTATCTTTGTTAAAGCTTCATCAACAACATCAAATCTTGTAGCTAGAATCTTGTTCTAGCCATGTTTTATTCTACCTTTGTCGAAGCTTCATTAACAATAACAAATTTCTTGGTTGAAGTCTTCCTTTAGCTGTGCTGGATTACTTTTGACACATCCACTTCGACTAAAGGGTTCACATGATTTGTCACTAAATCAGAAATGTTATATTATATTTTTTGCTGATAGCAACAATGGAGTTAGCATCGCCAGAAATACTATGTACCCACTTTGCTGGGAATGATATAGACACGTTTTACTTCAGCAGCATTTTCTTATACATGGCCAAACCTAGCTACATTTATCTGCATGACATGGTTGGGCATTTTTGACAATCATGATCTCTATTTCTATGTGTATGGCTACAACTAGCTCCCAACAATGGTTAAAGAGCCTATCTTGCTATAAATACATGGTTCCTATCAAAAGACAATGAGCTGATTTTATCACATGAACAATGCTCTTAGCAATGGACAATGAGCCAAGCATCAACTTTTACATATCTTTATCACTGGTTCCCATCAATGGATAATGGGCTAATTCTATTACATTTACACAACTCCATGCGATGAATAAAGGGCCATATTTGTTATCTCATTTAGCCTCTAACAATGGGCAAAAGACTACACATTTCTACATATCTTCATTACATTGGCTCCCAAAAATGGACAAAGGGTCGGATCTCTATACATTTTATCTTATTGGCTTCCAAAAATGTACAAAGAGTCAACACAATTAGGTACAATTAACGTGAGGCTGGTAATAGTTGCAACCTTGTGATTAGTTGGGATAGCTACCCTCTAGTGATAGAAATCTATCAAGTTGCGGGCGGTGGTCCTTTGGCGGTTGCTCGTGCATGGTGGTACGGTGCTCGACATGCAACAACAACTAGGACCACCCTCTAATGATGTGAGTACAACAAGAAGGGCCAGCATTTATTAGTGGTATCACATCTTGTCGTACTAAAGGACATGGACATGGCTGGCGTCCCCATTTCATGGAGACAACTCCAGATATCTTTATCACATATTCATCGCTATGGCAGAGTCTGGCATGATGAGATTTAGCCCTTTCACAACTTGGTGGATTCGTAAAAATGCTTTTCCGATTCCACATAGTTCACACTTTAGCTCTGGGCAAAACTAGCCACTATTGCCCTTCTAGCTATGGGGAAGCTATTCATGGCTAACCCTGTGACATTCATACAACATGGCTGGCAGTCATGCACATCATTATTCTTTCATACAAAGGGACAAAATTACCAATTACCAATAATCCTACTCTAGAACATAGTTCTATATTCTTCTATATTTTTACATGTTGGTAGGTATTGTTGACCATGACGCTTGGCTCGATAAAACGATACTGTGGCACACATATGTTATACATTCTTTATCTTGGCACATCACTAGACATTTACGGCAATGCTATACAAGTGCTTCCCATGACAAAAGGACAAAGAGGCACAACAATATATACTTCATCTTCCCTTTTTGATGCATTAGGAAGGTTAGCAAAGCTCTCTAACTAGCTTAGCAATATTCAACATAGCTAGCGGTCATGAACACACAATTACATATTGATACATCTTCAACAATCTATCATGGGGAAGAAACATTATCAAGTTTTGGAAGGCCCACATGGATAGATTGCATCCACTATGACTTATTTACTATGTCACTTGGACAGAAGGTCCATCCTTGCTGGAATACACTATCTTGGATAAAAGGTCCTTCTTTATTAGAATGCACTATCTTAGACAAAAGATCCATCATTGTTAGAACATTTTATCTTAGAAAAAAAGTCTTCTTCAACATATTGGGTCCATTATGAGTACGTTAACATATGTGTGCTCATTTCATCTTCATCATCATTTTATCATCTTTGGCAAAAGGAAGGCTCAATGAAGCTTCTTGGTCTTTACAGTTATAACAAGGCTATGGAGGGCCTTTATCTGTACATTACTCTTTTGCTTGAACAAGATGTCCATCATTACTAGATCTCACATGGTTAAATGCTAAATTTGGTCCCTCAACTTTAGTGAGTTGCACATTTTTGGTCCCTTAACAATTTTTTGCACTTTTTTGATCCCTTAACTATACGAAATGCACTCCGTTAGTCTTTCTATTAATTTCGATCGTTAACTCACTCACGTGGCATTTTTTATTATATTTTTTATGACGTGGCAAAAGCAAATTAAAAACATGTTGACGTGGAATTTTTTTTCAATGCCAACTCACATTATTATTATTATTTATATTTTTTAAAAATAAACTAATATAATTGGTTCATCTTTTTCCTTTCTCTTTTTCTTTCTTTTTTCTTCCTCTTCTTTCTTCCTTTTCTTTCTTCCTCGGGTCATTGAACCCTCTGCTGGGTTCGGTGGAACCCAGGTGAAGTTCCGTCGAACCCAGCAACTGGGTTCGGTGGAACCCAGGCTGGGTTCCACTGAACCCAGA